TGGTTGCAGTGGCAATTCTAGGTTTTATTTTTAGGGAGGGCCAATAGGGGGCCAATGCTATGTTTTGGGTGGTACCCAATTACTGCGTTGTTTGTAGATGTAGCCTATAGCAGTTTCTCAAGAAATGTTCTTTACTTGTACTCACATTGTATGACTAAAAATATACCTAACCTTGTTAAATAGATCTAACAAAATAAACATGTTCTGGAAAAGGTTTCTGGTCAGAGCATACTTGTACAGTATGGAATGTACAATAGTTGCTTCTTTCAAAAGCAACTCATGACACTCAAACTGATTCACAGTGTGAAGACTAATGTTAAAATAACAGCCTGATGGCTCAAGGTAAATAAAAATGATACATACATGTAAATACACACATAAACACAGTGCTGTCCTCTTTTATATTAACAATGTTGTTCCTAATTTGCTCTGAGCAATGTCTGTCTGTCCTGCTCTGCATGTCACCTGGTGCTGATGATGGGCTACAGCTGCTAGACTGGTTCTGCTTTGGATGCCTGTCCTCAGAACTGTCCCCCTGAACCTGTCTGGTTCACTGGTCTGACCCTCACATGGCTTCCTCTTAACTCTGTTCAGGACTTGTGGGGTCTTTTGGATCCCAGGCCATTTGGTTTAGGTGACAGGTATTGTTATTTTTTTAATTTTATTTTTAAATATAAAAAGAGGGGCATTTGTCATGTATTTGGAGCCAAAAATGTGTCAGCTTATCAGAAAATGTATTTAACATTGTATAAAAGCCTATAATGAATACCAACAATTATTTTGCACATATTCTTTCTTGGGGTCCAATGGACCCCCAAAGACCTTCTACGAATGGCAACATTAAAGTCCTGAATCGGGTTAAGATAACTAACAATGCTGGCTGCGCCTCTTTCTGACATTACTGGCAGCCCTGCTGCTGTAACAGAGACTAAATGACACCATTCAGGGGTAACTTAAATTTGGGATTGGGAATGCCCTGGCTGCTCCCAAAACATCTCTGTGTAAAGTGTCTTCATTTAACGTTGGCAGATTTCCTTGTTTCAAAAAAAAAAAAGAAGAAGAAGAAGAAAAAAAACACACCGTAGCAAGATTTCGTGTCACATAATCATTAATACAGAAACCCATTGATGGTTACCTACGATCGAGTTGGCACGTTTCATAAGCTTCACTACCTAATAACATAAACTTTTTGTCATCAAAATGTTAAATGATGAAGTAAAGATAATGGGTAAATCTACGAGTTAAGATAAAACATATCAATAACTCGTTTCTGTTCAATTTAATTTTGGATTTGACACTCACCATCTCAGAGTGTCCGTAAGTGCAGAGAGGAAGTGAGAGAAGAGGTGTGCTTGTTTAACGTTCCAGTCACTCCCGTCACAAACACTACCACAATGCTGTGTTCACTCCGCCCCCATAAAGCTGCGCTGTAACAACCAGCTGGCGCTCCTCAAAGAAACTACCCAATGACAAGACAGTTATTTTATCGGGCCCTTGTGGCCTCTCTCCTCCCTTCGTCTATGTTTGTATTGCCCAAGTTACTGGTGTAGAGCATAGACTGTATAAAAGATCTTTTATACAGTCTATGGTGTAGAGCTATGATCTATATTCATCATTAAGGACTTTATTTTAAAAATATTACCTCTTCATATTAATGTGTTGATACAGGAAAATGAAGAAAGATAAATAAAAAAAAGAAGACAAAACTTGTAGTGAATATGCATACATTAGCATCTTTTGCTTGGATTTTTGATATCTAATTTAAATACATATTGTGTTACTCAAGGTATTGATTTACAGATGTGATCTATATTTGTAATTAAATAAATATTTAATCAAAAATGACGACTGGTACTTTATTTTTTTGGCTAAAAAACATAATCACGATTACGTCATCTTACTAAACCTTTTAAAATCTCAACCACCCTGGTATTTTTCCAAACGAAGCTGTCAAATCCTTGTTAAAATGTAATTATTTTTTTTGTAGTTTTATCTATATTAACTTTAACTATAACTTCCAGGCTTTTACGTTGTAGTTTTGACTGATTTGGGCTTCAGCCAATCAGAGACATGTTCATCTGCTCGTGACGGCTACAACCAATCATAAACCTCTCAGCGTAAAAGTGGGCGTGTCTTATGGGAACAGCTGGTGGGGGCTCGTGTTGAGGGGCTCGAGCCGAGCGCTTGGTTGGTTGATGGGGAAACAACAACAAGCTAGGCATCATGAGGGTTCCCAAAACACTGATTTGGGCTGCTTTTCTCATCCAGAAGGTGAGAGACCGCTTCTGTTTCTCTGAAAACGGTCTGTCTGCGTGTTTAGTTCGCATAGCAGCACGTGGTGGATAAACAAAGGCAGCTTTTTTTTCCCAACCGTGCTTCGGCAATTTTAGCTCGGATGCTATGACTGTTAGCTTGCGGACATCACCGAGGGCCCTGGAAACCCACACATCACTCACCTTTTGATGTAACATTAATGAAGCTGGATCACTGCTGATTCACCGCATCTCTTAGGCCAACACTGGCATTTACTAGCGTTTAGCAGACATGTATCGGGGAATGTTAGCGACCAAGTTACTTTGCGCTGGTGTTGTTAAGATTTGTCAACGCTTCTGAAATTTGAGATTTAAGACGAAGAAATGTCCTAGTTGATCGTATTGTCCCTGCCAAACACAATTAAACAACTGTACTTGAACCCTGCGAGTCAGGCTGAAGCAAATCTTCTACTCTTGTCTGTATACCGCCAGATATTGACGCCTGCTTTGGGTGTTAAAGGTCCAAAAGGGTTTTTGTAAAGTAGGTGTTTAATGTATTTAGGACTAATTGCTGTAAACACGGTGTGACTAGTAGCCTACAGGATGTTATAACTGAGTGTTTAGTACATTTGGCCGCAACAAATGAAGGCTGATACTTGATCCCTCCACATTATGTAGGGTCCGAAAAAGTCTTTCGATGCACTGGATTCAGTTTCATTTTTGAAAAAGCCCTGAGAAGTCGATGAGTCTTAAATTTAACTTGCAATATTCTCACACATTTCCTCTTGGGTTCTGTAATGTAGTGCTGCAACTAATTTCCACTGTCTATTCATAGATATTGTTTTAATAAATCGTTTATTTGTTTGATCCAATAAAATATCAGAACATTGTGAGAAATGTCCATCACGGTTTCCCAAAGTCCAAAATGACACATGTCTAGATTTATCCACAACCCAAAGATATTCAGTTTACTGTAATAGAGGAGCAACAAATCCAGAAAATGTTCACATATAAGAAACTGGGATACTTTTTTTCATTCTTTTGAATTATGGTGTTAAGAAATAGAGGTGTGGTGTGAGAAGGTCTCAGAAAGCCTCAAATCTAAGCACCTTGCAGAAACCCTGATTGAAGAAGTTCATTGTGCTTTATGGTCCCAAGAAGGCTGCATTGTGTTGCTGCTGAGCCATGGTGCATTATACATACAGGTGCTGATAATATTGAGTCCTCCTTATTATATCAGTTTATTATAGACCAAAAGCATTTTTAAAGGGTTATCATTAGTTTGATCATTGCTTACCAAAGGCTGTGTAGCTCCTGGGTTTGCAGAGGGCTGCAGCCTTGACAACAGTGAGCGGTGTGTTTAGAATTGCATACTTCCAAATATCAGTATTGTCGTCATTCACCATGCACACTGTTATGTCACCAGCATTTTTGACTTTGTCCTTGTTACCAGATTTTGTTCAGTGTCACAGTGAAATGTCAACAGCAGTTTTAGTTCTGCTTGGTGTAATGGTAGTGGTGTAAAGTATTATATATGCTATAAAAGTCAAAGTTATAAATACTTCATGGACCTGTGGAGTGATACTTTGTTGTCATGTTTCCAGGTGGTGGGAGAGTATGGCATGGCCCATTTCAGTGACAAGGGCAAGAGCAAAGGAAAGGATTACTGCATATTCTTCAACTCACAGTGGGCACGTCTACCTCAGGACCTCAATAAGGCAGTAAGTCAATAGTGAGCAACAACAAGTAATAATAATAACAATAAACTTTATTTGTATAGCACTTTTAAGAACAGAATTCGCAAATTGCTTTTATGTAATAAAGAAAAAAACATGTACAAAAAGTACAGGCAAACACTCAAACTATAAAATTACACAATAGAAATGGAAAAGAACAGACTGGGTCACTATTAAAAGGTGTACTAGTAAAACTGATTAAAATGACGACATCACAGAGGGGAATGAAGATAAAAGCTGAAGATGAAAGTAGATTAAGAAAGAGAGAAGGGCAGCAGGTAGTACCAATAAAAAAAAAGGGAAAAGAAACAGGCGAAAATCTAAAAGAGAAATCAAAGAGAACGTCACTTGAAAGCGAGTCTATAAAAGTGGGTTTTAAGAAGTGATTGAAAAGAAGATATTGAATCTGCAAGCCTTATTTCCTCAGGTAGGTCGTTCCAAAGCTGAAGGGCCCTCACAGAAAAGGCCTGGTCGCCTTTAGATTTGAGCCTCGACTTTGGAACAATGAGGAGGGACCCACCTGAGGATCTAAGGCTGCGTGTTGGGGTATACGGGGTTAACATGTCTAAAATATAGCCAGGGGCAAGGCCCTGGCTAGCTGTAAAAGTGTTCAGTAAAATCTTAAAATCAATTCTAAAACGGACAGGGAGCCAGTGGAGAGAAGCCAGTAAAGGGGAGATGTGATGTCGCCTGTTAAAACCAGTAAGAAGCCTAGCTACTGCTTTCTGAACAAGTTGGAGGCGAGAGATGGATTTTTTTGTGAGATGCCAGATAAGAGGGAGTTGCAGTACTCGAGACAGGAAAAGATGAGGGCATGGATGATTCTTTCAAGGTCTGACTGAAGGAGGATTGGTTTGATTTTGGAGATTGTTCTTAGCTGGAGGAAACAAGACTGGATGATTTTATTAATATGGGAGGTGAGTGTAACTAAGTCAGCTTCTATAGACATAGTAATAATTCAAACTGCTTCTTGGTTTCACAGAATAATGATGCTAAACTTGACTTTATACTGATTTGTAGATGATCAATAAAATCTTATTCAGGAAGCCTCATACAAGAGGCTGTAAACTGATCTCCACTTTCAGTGCCTGTTAGGAGTCCAGCAGCTGCTTTCTGAACCAAATGGTGGAGATCTTTAGGACTGATTTGAAAGAATAATGATTTACAGTAATCCACCCAACAACAAATACAGGCAGGAATTACAGTTTCTAGGTCACGCTTGAATAAAAAGGATTTAATATTTGGATATAGGTGTGTTGTTATTATCAACCAAAAACGGATGATTCAACTCATTTCCACTGAATGAGGAAACATTTAAAGTTTAATAACCAATATACTAAGAATAAAACAACAATATAACAGCTATCTTCTGTAAGATACCAGATTTGTATTTTGGTGCATAAATAAATTAAAGAAGCTTTGGCTAATGTTGCAAACTTTTTCTGTGTTGTAGTCACGTCTCCAGATCTATGACTTAACACCATCAGTCCTGTGCTCGCCCTCTGAGGTCCCAGAGGGAGGCTTCCCAAACCGCATCCCCATGGTGATGAGGGGCAACTGCACTTTCTATGAAAAGGTTCGCCTGGCCCAGATTAATGGTGCCAAGGGCCTGCTCATTGTCAGCAAGGACAGACTGGTAAGACAGTTGTCTGCAGTCACTGTGTGTCGGGATTTAACTGAGTTTGGTCCATCGGAAAACAGAAATATGTTTTTTGTTTTTTTTTTTTTACAGACACCACCAGCAGGAAACAAGACTCAGTATGAGGAGATCGACATTCCTGTAGCACTTCTCAGCTACTCTGATATGCTGGACATTAGCAAGGTGAGAGGGTGACCACGAGACACTCAAAGAACTGGTGACCTGTGGGGTCAAACTGATGCTTCTCTCTTTCACATTTATGTGCATACACTCATCGAAACACTAAAAGCACATATACTCTCATCATATAGTGTTTTTTAAATCTGTGCAAATTAAAAAAAAAAATCCAATGTACTCAGAATTGTTAACTTACACCTTATGTGATGCTGTTCTTTACTTCTACAGACCTTTGGTAAAGGACGACAGGTTGCAATGTACGCACCCAATGAGCCAGTGTTGGACTACAACATGGTGATTATCTTCTTGATGGCTGTAGGAACGGTGGCNAACACAATCAGTAATCCAAACCTCACATTAATAAAAAATAAATAAATAATTAAAAGAAACACAGCAAATGAAAAATACTTTATTTATCCCAGAAGGGAAATTCAATAATAATAATGATAATAATAATAATAATATTCAATAAATCCTCGATCAAATGAATTATAGATGTAACTGCCCATTTTAGCTGCATGCCACCACATTTTCACATTTTAATTTGAGCATAATTTCACAATTTGATTCCATTTTATTTCTCTAGATATGTTTGATGATCATTATGAAAACATTTTTCCAGCTTATTAAGAAAACTACACAGAAAGCCTCGTGCAACATAACAATATACACGCACATATTGTTGCACGTTAACGTCTCCTGAGCTTAAACTCTTTCTTTGGCATTTCAGGGTCAAGGATTCTACCCTGGATGTGGACAGCACAGGATATGAGGTCAAGTTTCCTGAAGTTAAAATCAAAGATGACACAGGTAACATCTCTTCATCTTGAGTGTTTATTTGCAGTGCTCACGCTGTGGTGTCATGTCCTTCCTTTCTGCAGGAGAAGCCAGAGCTGTACTTCTCTGATCCCCAGCAGTTGGCGGCTCAGTTATCAATTCTGACGGACCAGATCCTGTCTCTGACTGAGAACTGCACCCCTGTGGATGAGACACTGGAGGCCGACATTGAGATAGCCAAGGAGAAAATGTGAGAATCGCATACAGTGTATCTTGAGGCTTGTTTTAAATTTTGGTACCTGACTGACTGATTTTAAAAGTTAAAAATAACACAAAATGCAGACACAAAATACAGCAATTAACAAAGCTTGATTAACATTTCAAGAGAAAAGAGAAAAAAAGGGAGAAACCACAACAAAAAAGCATGTAACATAAAGCACATAAGGCAGCTTGGGATAAACAGCACACTGGATAATGTATAGACACAAAAGGCACAAAATACTAAATACAAAACCTTCCACCCAATTCTACCTTCTCTCTGTCCAAAGTAAAACCAGTGAAGAGAGGCTGAAGTTGCAGGTAGATGACATGAAGCGCAAAATTGTCATGGAACAGGAGAGAGCTGCGCTGTTCAAACAGAAGGTTCAGCTCTACGAATCAATGAAAACACAGAACGAGGTAAGAAGACACAATGTGCAGGTTGCACTGTTTTACATGTCACCCTATTTCAAATCCAAAAGTCACATTTGGTGATTCCAACACCCATTAATCCAGCATTGCTAAGTTTGATCCCTGCTCTTCTGTTGTTCCTTGTTTCCTGCCTCCTCTATCAACAATCCTCTTACTTCCAGGATAAGGTGTCGGACGATCTGGATAGCATGGTAGCAGAACTATATTCAAGCTGCGTTGATAGCCGTCCGAACAACCTCAGCACCATCGAGAAGCTGGCTTGTGTTGAGTACCAAATGTCTTTGCTGCTCGACGAAATCGAGAGCATCCCTGAAGACACTTTGAAGAAACTGAGGCATATTCAGAACAAGGAGAAGAGGAGCAGGTTTGTTACTGAACATACACCTTCATTTTTAGATATTTGTTTTTTACAATACACATTATAAATTAATGACTGAATGAGCGATGCTACTCCGATGTCATGTGAAAACCCCTCCTCTTCCTGAATGCTATTTCCCGTTCCAGGCTGCGTGAGGAAAAGCAGCGACTGGAGATGGAGAAAAAAAAAGAAATGAAGGAGAG